AAAAATAGTACCTGAGCTAAAAAGAGGGCTGGTTTATGGAACCGACTAGTTTATTATCGTCTTAAAAATGGTCAGTTTTTAACCTGAAAATAAAGATTGCATTGCCTTACATGCCTTAAATGCAGAAGGAGCTTCAAGCAAGAACAGAGTAAATATATTGTGCAGCATATAGAAATATTTTTCACTGAATCAATATTTTTATAATAGAAATAAAAGGTGAATGGACTTATGCAATATTTGGATTTTCTTAAACTTTTTCATGTTTTCTTTTGTATCAAAATACAAGCTTTGTGTTTATTACCAAGTGCTCATGAAGCCATTTTGGTTTTCTGCTTTATTAACATTCCTTCTTTGCCTTTGAGGGGCATTTATAATCTGAAGTGAAACTCTCTCATGGTTTAAATGTAAAAAATAAACATTCATTAACATTGCGACACAGATTTCTGTAACGGGTAATTAGTTTCCTGCGCAGCTTGACTGAATCTGGTTTTGGGAGTCTGTGTCTATGAAGACAAAAAGAGCCATCTGTTTACTCCCTCCTGCCAGCTCAGTATCAATCACAGTTTTGATGTCGCCACAAAGAGGGAAAAGCAAGATGCTGAACACGCATTCATGCAAATGAAATCTGAAGGACAGAATCTTATAATAAGGCACAGGAAAGTGCAATATTTTAACCAGTAAGGGTCAGACAAAATTTATGTTAGTGTGTGGAAGATTTAGCTTTTCCCTTCCACAATATCCACACAAGGCAGTATGGATTCATGCTATTTTAATATTCTGAGTCTATTGTCTGAGAGTTGCAGCTGAAATTGAGACTCATTTGACAAGACAACATATTTCCAATTTGTCGCTGTCCAATTTTGGTGAGTCTGTGTGAATTGTTGTCTCACTTTCCTGTTCCTACTTGACACGAGTGCTTGGTGTGACAGTTTGCTGTAGCCAATCTACTTCAAGATTCAGTGCGTTTACAAATGTACATCAAGATTACTTGCTTAATTATTTATCTTTCTGTCATTCTGACTAGTCTGCCATTCTCCTCTAACCTCACGAGTGTCTCATTTCTTTCTAAGTTTTTCTAAATAATGTCTTGCTTCATTGTTTCCATGGAATGTTCTTGTTTTATGAACTCCACCAATTTCCACAACATGATGCTCCCACCACCATACTTAAAGTATTTGCAAATGAAAAAGATGCTGACAAAGGAAGAATGTTCTCACAAAATTTTTATTGCATTGAAAGCTGGAATATTTGTACAAAATTATTAGTTTTATAAATAATTTTAATTAAGGAGACACAGAATGTCTTCCAGTGCAAGTTTATGGCTTTGAAACCACTTTCAGAAAAACTCATAAAACCACACAAAACAAATAGGCTCATGACATAAAACTAATTATATTAGATGTTGTTATAAATACCAAATAAAATGATTAGAATACTGACAAGGGTCTGAACCAGTCAGACATGAATTTTTTTTATCCAGAAAGCATGTGTTGAATTTACTTGTATGGATCTCAAATTATTGGCCACTATGGTCAACAGTTCACAGCATGTCAGACTGAGTGCAAACGATGGTTGCTTGCTTCTGGGCCTTTGATTTGCATTCAGTCCAATGCTGTATAAATAATAATCAGCCAAATTCAAAAGAAGCCAGTTGTTCACATTGCATAAAGCACATACATCATACAAAAGACATGATGAACAAACACTGCATCACATTCTTTCAGACACCTGCACAAAGAAACATTTGGTTGCTCCAGCCTCACAGCCCATCTGTGCATGTATCTCAGTTGTTATTTCTTGATTATTTTGGGCATTTCAGAAGATCGTACTTCACATTGCCGGTGTGGTCCACCTGCCTGCCAGAATTCAGGCGCCAGTAGAAAAGATCTCTGCAGAAGTAAATGTTGCCTGAAAGAGAAACGTTGATGTTACAACCACCACAATGTATGCCATGTTTTGTTGAAGTTTGTGCATTTGTGTTCCCGAGCTTAGTTGTAGAAGGCATGTTTACCTTTTTGCTTGAACACATCATGAGCATCATTAGGGACACCTCCAAAGCTGGCTCTGGTATATTTGGGGTATCCTTTGTCAATCATTTGGGTCTTGAGATCAAACCTGTAGGGATCAGAGATGGATTGAGATCTATTGTATGTCCTTTAACAGGATGGGTTAATTTACAGATCTTTTGTCTAAAAAAGGGGGGCAATTTCTAGTCACCTCCAAAAGTTTTCTCCACTGAAGAGAAGCACTTTGCTCTTCCCTCTATACAGCGCTCCCTCCACCTTCTGTACACTTGGGGGCAAACCAAGCTTCTCAATACTGTGGGGACCTAGCACACTGCTTCCTGTGTACACCCAGAACCTTCTTCCTAATGTAACAATAAAATATGATTAAAACTCTTTGTCTAACATTTCAGTGCTCTGATAAGCTCTTGAAAGAACACTCCTTACCTGAAAAGAAGTATAATTTTGTGGTCTGAACATCCTCAAAGGCAGAGTCAATGACAGCAGGTAGAGCTGGCCAACTCTGAGAAATGGAAAATGGTCCCGTTCGACCTACATCTGTCTTGCTTGATACCTTCCAGAAATACCTGTCAATCAGAAATGCAAGATTAGCACCTCGATAGGTTATGTTTCTAGAGCATAAGTAGAACTAGCTATTTGCTTACCCATCTTTGAAGAAATGCAGGTGTCCCTGAATCACAGTGATGGTGTCAAACTTGAGCATCTTGCAGGGGTCTTTGGTGGGATCTACAATTGGTGACGCTATCACGACAGATGAACTAGTCGGATTAGGTATTACTGTGGCGTTGAGAGTAGGACCAGGGCCTATTTTATTTCCTGCAAAATATGGGAATGTTCTTTAAGGCAAAGTTTTCATGTGTTTGACGAAATTTATTGTGAAAGAGTACTGAGTTGTCCGCTCACCGTAGAGGTACTGAATTCCATCAATGTCGTCCTGATCCAGGGAGAAATCCTCCACATAG